GGAATTGTGTGGATCATGCAGTGTATACCTGGCACCACTAGATCCTTTCTAGATTTTGTTTTGTTTTTATTGTTACACGTACAGTGGCTTACTTGGTCCTCCTGCTCTCCTGCAAGGTAGATTAGGCTGAAAGTCAGTGACTGGTCCAAAGTTACCCAGTGAGCTTCATGGCTGAGTAAGGACTAGAAAACACATCTTCCTGGTCCTAGCCGAAACTCTAGCCATAACACTTCAGTACACATCACATTTATACAGCATGTGGGTATTCCACATTATTTCAGTTGTCCTTATAGCATTCCTGTAAATCTGCATTATTGTTGATTATCTTTCCTCAGCCTGGTGCTCTGTAAATATTTTGAGCTTCAGCCCCAATCAGCCATAGTTAGTATGGCCAATGGTGAAGAATCCTGGGAGTTGTAGTCCAAAACATCTAGTGGGCACCAAGTTGGATGATTTACAATAAAGCCGACTTACAGGAATTTGTGAATACCAAGATATTGAAGTGAGATCTCTGGAGCAAGATCAGGTGTACTGAAATATTTCAGAGAATACCTTGCAAGGCAGTAAAGAATTATTTTTCACCTGGAATGGAATAGTATGTTTTTTATTTCCAAATGGGTATAGTAAGAATGTCCAAGGTTTGTAGGGAGGTACACCTGGGGTGGAGCAAGGTTTTCCAAAGAGATCTAGAAATTCAGCAAGATCTTTCTAGGTGTTTTGGCAAGATATGTCAGAGGGGTCGTGGCAGATCTTTGAAGGAGATGCTAAAGTTAAGATGTAGAAAGGGAATGCAGCAGAATGTAGCAGAGAATTCTAGAGAGGTGGGAACTAATGACCAGGAGAATTTGGAAGCTTATGCAGGGCTATAAGTAGCAAAAGATACAATGGATAATAGGAAGATATGAACTGGAGACTGCTCACAGCGTTTTCGCTCAAGTATGGCATCAGAAATCAGTATCTGCATATAAAATGGGAGGTGTTAAAAATCAGACTAGATAGAAAAGTAAAGGAAGCTGTGCGAACCTCTGTGGCATAAGTTTAAAGAGCATTAAGCTACAGTTTAGCAATTGCTTAGTGTTGATTTTTGCATTGGCAGCATTCACTGACCTGAAATTGCCTTAGGAAGGAACTTTGTTATAAGGTACTGCCACCTATAGGTAGAATTTTTGCAAACCATATCCTCCATGTATTACTCTTGTTATTTCACAAAGCATCGCATTTGCTAAGTCTTTACTTCTCATTAAAATGTTCTTAAAATATAACTGGTAGAAAAGCTGATCAGAGTTCTTAGGCTTCAGGAAAAGAAAAGCCACTAATACTCTTTTTAAGGAAAGTAGAGAAACTTCAGGAACAACTAAATGCTTATTCCAGCCATATTAGGATTAAATCTCAGCTGAATTGTTCTCTTCTTTTGTCTCTTAGCAAAACCCAGAGAACTCAAACCATAATTTGCACATTTTTGCTGCAAATTTTCCATTAGAACCAGAATATTACAGTTGTTAAACTTTGTGCAACATGAGGGAAATCTCTCCTGTACGATTCATTCTTTCTCATAAAAAATGTATTTCCATGTCAGTTTTGCCCCAAATTAGTGTAGACTCTGTGAAAAGATGCATATACGGAATTGGTCTATTGTCACAAATAATGCTATCCTTTTTTAAATAATATAATTGTCAGCTAATATATATGGTGTATTCTGTGCATGTTTTGAAGATTTGTGGTGCATAAGTGCCTCATCATACATCCTGTTCATCAAACACCTGTGCTTACATTCAGACAATAGTTTAAGGACATAATCTCATATATCTTTTGATAGAAAAAGGTCCTATAGCTCCCAGCATCACCCTGGAAATTGTACGGTTTTTCTTTTGTCTAGTCATGCATAGGATTGCTCCCTAAGTGAGCTGAAAGGGAAATTTATATTATCTTATTATGTCCTAATTTCACCTCTGGTCATAGGTGGAATCAGTATAAAACCCTGCAAAACCTGTTTATCAGCAGCAGATTTTGTAAAGCGTGAACACCCTTTTAAACCACCTTAAACTCTCTGTCGAAAAGAAACCAGCTAAAAGGCAATGTTGTGGCTTTATCTTGAGGGTTCACTATTGAACAGTCCCCTTAGCCATAAAGGACTACAAAAATGACTAATTCATAAAAATTGCTACAGAGCTGCATTTCAAGCTACAGGCCCCCAAAACTATATGAGCATCACATGTCTTATGAAGCTGCTGTATACTAGATCAGAATCTGTCTGCATCGACTCTGACTGATAACAATTCTTGTGGACCTCAGCCTGAGGTTTGGGGGGGGAGGGTCACCTCACCTGCTACCTGAGGTCTTCCTGTTTCTCAGTGGCCCCATTTGAGTTCTATTCCTGTCAGTGCTCCCCATCACCTAAGCTCTCACTCCCAGCCACCACCCTTGTGGTTGGTTTGTTTGTTTGTTTGTTTATTAAAACATTTCTATGCCACCCCTTGCTGAAGCCTCGGGGCGGCTCACAGCATAAAATAAAATACAATAAAATACAAAAATAACAATATAAAATTAACAATATAAAATCAATAACAATATAAAAGATATAAAAAACAATATAAAAGTTTATCTACTCCTACACCCTTTTGCCTTGCTTTCTTTTCCAGTCTTCTGGACAGCTGATTAACAACAGATTCAGAAACAGGGAGGTGAACCTGGCATGCTAACATGTTTCAATTTATTATTAATATTAAGGAGGGAATGAAGAGCTTTGATTGGGTCCATGCAGTTAAAATATTTTGCTGTGCCATTCAGAGCCCAATTTGTGCCCCCACCGTCTGCCCCCCCCCCCCCCCATTACATGGAGCCCTCTGAAGCCTGTCATTTCACCTTGATACATAACAGGACTGGCCTTAGCATTGTATGCTAAGTGATTATATGTGTAGAGGTCTACACATATCAACAACCCATGCCCACCTCTCCTACACAGACCAGTTGTGAAGCTTGATGTCTAAACCCAGAGTCAGTATGGTATAGTGGTTAAGAACACGGGACTGAGACTCAGGCAGACTGGGCAGTAGTCCCCACTCAGCCTTGGAGCCAACTGGGTGACTTTGGACCAGGCACAGTCTCTCAGCCTAACCTAACTCACAGAGTTGTTGCTGTGGGGATAAGATTGAAAGCAAAAGGAGAATGAGGAAAGCCACTTTGAGTTCTTTGAAAAAGAAAAAAGTGGGATATAAATCTAATAAATAAATGAATTACCCTGGCTGCTGGGTTGTTTATGAGTAAACAACCTAATGTTTAACCTATGGGTTGTTGGTAGGGTGCATGACAGTCTATTGATTTTGAAACCAATGGGTTGTCTTTCAATGCAAACAGGTGCATAGTGATCACTATTGTAAATCAGAATGTGAAACTATGTTTTTATTCTTTTTAATACTTTTACTATCTTTCTCTTTTCTGCAGGCTTTATGGACTTTTAACAGGCAGAGCTTTCTCTCATGGTAGCCTCTCTACTCTTGGAAAAGTTCAGACGGTTGAATATTTGATTGAGTTCCTGCCAGAGAAAAAGGTGTGAGTTATAAGCTGATGCCGTATTCATCTATTCTGAGATGAATCTTGCATTCGTTTTCGTCTGACAAACCCAAGAATTACTTGAGGGTATGCAGACAACATGAAAGTAGGTACTCAGTCTTTATAAATATCTTTTTTAATGATATTCACAAATAATTATTTTGAAAGTAGTCTTTGAAGACTTAACATTGAAAGGGTTCCTGTCACATCTAGGAAGTGATTCAGGTATCAAGAATGTTCATACATCTCAAACATTACTACCATGGCTTAATAGTATAAAACACACTTTAATTATTCCAATACATTTAAGGGGCCAGTGAGCTGATTTCCCATCAGTTGAAGCTATGCATATCCTTTTATCTCTGTAGCACAGTGGTTTTGTCTTTCCAAGAGAAAATAGGACTAAAATGTGAGATTGCATTTCCCCCAGTATGATGAAGATCCAAACTTGCATTATTATTTGACTATTTTAGTATAGGCTAGATTTACTAAGCTTAACCCTATTGTTATCTTTGTGCTGCTGTGAAACAAAGGCCACAACTACAAACAACTTTAGAGATCTGTGATTGGGAATCCTAGTATTTTTATTTTAAAGCATAAGAACAGCTTTGCAAAAGCAGAACAAAGGCCTACTTAGCCCAGGCTCCTGTTTCCCACAGTGACCTACCAAACACTTCTGGGAAGCTGTAAGGCCTTCTCCACTGTTGGGCCTCAGCAATTGGCATTCAGAGGCTTGCTCCTTCTGATCCTAGTGGCAGCATATAACCATCTTGACAAGTGGCCATTGATAACCTTATCCTGCAACCCCATATGTTTGTTGTTGTTATTATGTGCTGTCAAGTCATCTTTGGCTCATGGCAACCTTATGGATGAAACCCTCTAAAATATCCTATCTATGACAGCTCTGCTGAACACTTGTTAAGTTCCAGGCTGTGGCTTCCTTTATGCAGTCAATCCATCTTATATTTGGTCTTCCTTTTCTTCTTCTGCCTTCAACTTTCACCAGGATGATTGTCTTCTCCAGAGAGTCTTGCATTCTCACGACGTGCCCAAAATATGACAGTTTCAGTTTTGTCATTACTACACAGGGGAAAAAGAGAGTCCCATTACTTCCACAATCCTTCTGGACAACCATGCTCCCTGGGGCGTGCTGGTAATTGTAGGAATGTTTTTCCTGTCTAGAGAAGCAGAGCATTTTCCCCTGCGTTGTTCAGAGGTAAGCACTTCTGCAGGTCCTATGAGGTGTTGAAGGTATTCGGATGGAATTCTTTTCGAGGTATTGCTCTTTGCAAGTTCTTGTAGGAGGGATTCTTTGTGTCCAGTAGGTGGCAGACATGGCGCCTTTTTCGGCGCGGTTTCGGCAATAGCTTCCCGGAGGAGGAAGCGGCGGCAAAAGGGGCGCATGCGTGATCTGTGCCGGAAAAAGTGAGCCGCTGGGCAGCTGGGAGGAACCGCCGCTCGACCTTTTGTTGTGGCGATGAAGCAACGAAGGGGGACCCTGGAGCTTTGACCTCCAGCGGAGGTGAAGCCACGATGGTCAGGGGCCAGGCTGCAGCCCTCGTGGTGGGCAGTGGGAGGCAGGGGAGCCTCCTCGTTCAGCGGGGACCAGGCGCCAGGCGCCACTCCTCAGGCGCCTCATGCGACGCCCTCGTCCGCTTCCCGCGTCCCCTCCGCCGTTGCCTTGGAGACTGGAAGCGGGCGGGATTCCTCGTGCCGGGGACGCGCGGCGGCGCGCACCGAGCACCGCCGGCGGCCCTCGAGCGGCAGGACGGCGTGAGCTGGGCGGCGGCGCGCGGCTCCTCCTGCATCAGCAGCGGTTGCTCGCTTGGGGTGGGGGCCCGTTTCCTCAGCCTGAACGTGGGTCGTTGCCGGGCCGTCGAGGAGCGAGGTGAGAGACGGGTGCTAGGCAAACGGGGAGGAGGCTTCTCCCGGAGGGCTTAGTGTGTGAGAGTGCGGGCGCGTGCGTGTGTGAGAGAGGTGCAACATGTTTTAAAAGGAATAGTTTTGTGTCCAGCTAGACACGCAGCCCTAGCTTTTGGACACCTGGTGGACGTGAATGGACGTATCACATTTAATCAGTGAGCACAACACAAATGCAGATTGCATGTCACTGAGGCACAATGTGGAGGTATGACATTTGAGTGAAACTGGAGATAAATAGCAGAACAGTAGCAGAACTTTACACGATCATTTTTCGGATTTTTCAAGCCACCATTTTATTCTGAAAAACTAATTCAAAACATCGCTTTCCCTGTGCTCTGTGATGTCTGGTTTTCTGTATCCAGTAAAATTACTACAGCAGGACACTGATTATAAGCAGCAGTTTGTATGCCATTAAGTCAAAGAAACATTCTTGCATTCATAGATTCTTCAGTCAAGGACATACAGAAAAGATACCTTATTTGACAGCAGTTCGAAATTATTCTCTCATAGAGTATGGACACAACCAGGACTGAAGCAAATGTTTTTGTAGTAAACTAAAAGTGCCAAGAACAAGCTTCTGTAGCTTATTATAATGTTTTGTGCTTCAGTCTGCAATGTTTATTTCTGGTATTTCTTTATTTACATTTATTATCTTTACTTAGTCTATTTACATTTCCATCAACTTGAAGAGAGAAAAAAACAGCTGTTGCCAGGTGCTATGCAACTTAATTTCTAGCACACTGGTTATTTGTAGCCTCTTACTGTGCATGACTGCTCTCTGTAATATATAGATAAACCATGGGGCTGAAAATTAGTAAACTGAACATCACAGTTGTTGGCACTAAGCCATACTTGTACTGATTGTTGTTGCAATATTGCCAGGGAACGTGTTGCCTACTAGTAGTAGGTGCTTTCAATGCACGCAAATACATAGGTCAATCAGGTGATATACTCCATCTGCTCAAAGGTGCTTCATATTTTTCATCTTAAGATGCTTGTATCGTTGTTGCCACAGTCTTGCAGCTTCATTTGCTTCTGGTGGAGTTCTGTGTGCGATGGATTCCAGATAATCAGTTTTTCATGCTTTTGCTTGCTTTCAGCCTGACTTCCATTGGCCAGTGGAACAGTCCTAGTTTTAGAAAATTGTAGAAGTTTCTGTTTCATGTTTTACAGGTAACACTGCAGATGTAAGGCCTTGGCTTATTAAGAAAATGGTCCATCTCATGACCTTTATATCAAACATAATGATGTGCCTGAAGTTTCAAGAACAAGATTACTGAAATAATTTAATTTTGTCTAGTTGCTCATTCTCTGTTTGTGTGATAGTGTTAGCACATGCAGTAATGGTTATCTGAAATTGGGGATTGGGATTGATTTTGGTAGATTTTGAGCAGATCAACTCCTTACATTAAATAGCTACAGATTGTGCTCCAACCTGTTACTGGAGAGCATAAGAAATTGAGCAAATGGTGTTTTTTTCTGAAAGGTGCCTAGAAAAATATGAAGTGGTACTACTAATTTGGGTTTGATAGCCTAGGTGCTTCAGAGGTATTAGCAATGCAGATCAGTAAGGTTACTTCCTGCTTAATTGTTAATTGAGTAGTATCCTGCAGCTCATTTTTTTCCTCCACCATGTCCATATTCAAATTTGAATGCTTCATAGTGTCAGTGTTGTCCTTTAGGTGCAGCATGCACATGTCATCTTACAAACTATGGTTCCTTGGTAGATTCTCAGGAGAAAAGCAGTTTTTATCCAAGAGAGCCATAGCAGTCAGAAGAGAAAATACCTCTTTCATCTATAGGGGCAGTTTGGTGGCAGAATATGCCTTGCAGAACTATGAGCTCCTCTTTTCAGCCACTAGGGCACTGCTTATGGGACAGGAGACTTAACATGCATGCTGGTCGAGTAGCAGCAGAACATGCCTAAAATTCTTTTATGGCAGTGGTTCTCTTGGCTGGATGTGTCTCTGATGGTCAGCTGTTTTGACCACTGAGTGATTATCTGATCTGTGAAAAGCAAGCCAGAAAAAAATCTATTCTGCCTCACTGCACTGTTGCTTTTTTTCTTTTTTAGTTAAAGTTATTTTCCTATGATATGGAAAGGGAATTCTGAATATGTTCCAAGAGGGCATGCCTTAATTCCTAACAAAAGTGTTACCTCGTAAGTTTAAAGCTGCCTGAACACATACCATCTGCCCTGGAAACCCTGCCTTTTATTTGAACTAATTTATAGATATGAATCTATTTACTTAAGCTGGGGAAGGCTTACTCATGCAATATGTTTAGAGGGTCCACTAGGATTTTATCATTTGGCTTTGAGTTTTGCTTTCTAACTATATTGTTGGGAGGGAGAAGAATATATGCAGAAAGGTATAGCCTTGCTTTTTTACTTCAAAACATAAACATGAAATACCAGATTTTCTTTTTACTTCTGTCTATTCCTAAAACAATCCTTTGGTGATCTTAGTATGCAGTGTTTTTGTTTTTATTGTGTACTGTGCAGTTTTAATATATTTAAGTTACTACAAAACAAAAATGAAAAATACTTTCATATGTATATGTATGCTAGAACTGTATTTTAATCATCCAAACACGAGATCGATTGAATCCATAAAGGAAGCCACAACTTTGAAACTGAAGAGCTGAGCAAGGGCTATCAAGGACAGGAGATTTTGGAGGGCTTTCATTCATGGAAGTCACCATAAGTAGGAGATGACTTGATGGCACATAACAATGCAACAACATTTTAACTACAACAGGACTACCATATCCACAGGGGATAGGTTTTGAACTGCCCAGCAGATGCCTGAAACCACAGATAGTAGCAAGCACTACATTTGCAGAGGTTGTAAATGTAGGGGGGGCCAGGACCCCTGCAAAAGTGCAAAAAACACTTATATTCCTGCTGATTTTAAGTATCTGTTGAAACTGTCTTATTATGTGTGTTTTCATCCCCAGATTGCAGTATATCTGAAATGAAGATAGTCTTTTGTACACGTTCCTTATTGCTGTGAGCTTGCTATGCTCTTAGGATAAATGGAATGAGGATTGTGAAAATTCCATATAGAAAGCATTCTATTAATAACAGTGTCAAACACACACATTCTATTATAAATGTTTATACTTCTGTCTAATGTTGTGGGGGGAAACAACAAAATTATTATTTTAGTCATGGTGGAAATCTGCCCCTTTATGGCAAAAGGGGAAATGATAGTGCTACAGTATACAGATACATTGTAATCCAAGGTTGGAGGAATTTGTGAATTACACATGATACATTCCTTTATGTTGACACTTATTTCTTTGCTTTCCTTCTTTAGATGTAAATATTTGTGCATCACATCTACAATTTGAGAAAACCAAGAGTAGTTTTTCTCTGTCGGGATGTAGGAAGCTTTATTTTGATACCCATGCCTTTGTGTGCCTCCTGGAAGAAAATGGTAAATTTTCTGCTTTCTATGTTGTTATGCAATGGCAAAACCAGAGGTCACTCTTTTGTCCATGTTTATATATTTTAATTGATTTTGTTGAATTTTCTCATGCATCTTGCAAAAAAAGGAAAGTATACTGCTGAACCTAGTTTGTTTATTCAGGTGGCATTTAGAAATCCCTTACTAATAGGGAAAAAACCAGAAAACTTGACTTTTATAGTAAATACCCATAGGTGTGCTGGGTATGTTTTTAATTTTGTAATGTTTTATTAATTTTGTATTTTATTATACTTTTGCCATTTGAATATTTTGTAAACCACCTTGGTTGGTTTCAGAAGGCCGTACAAAAATACAGTAAATAGACAAATATCTTTGAGCTAGAGCTCTTCCTCTGCCCTTCAGCTGCTACCTACATATGACAATGATAATTAAAATTTCTTAATTTTTACAGGATTTACTACTCAGCAATCTGAGATTGTTGTGTCTGCTTTAATGGGCATCATGAAAAACAACATGGATATTATATATAAGGACATGGTCACAAAAGTACAACAGGTTAGAGACATAGTTTTTTTTCATAGCCAACATTTAGCCAAATTAATTAATGGATTGGGTCCAGACATAAGCATACTTAGAAAAGATCAATTGAAATAAATGGGACTTAAATAGCTAAGTCCCACTGAATTCAATAGGTCTGCTCTGATTATGAATCCTACGGAATCTCCTCATTTGCACACAATAACAAAAACTTCTAGGTTAATTAGCCCATGTTTTGCTGTGGTGCATGTTGCCGCCATTTTCAATATGCAACCTCCATATTGAATTTAGTGTCTGAAACAAGAGACCATGGGTTAATTGTAGGTTAAGCAACCCAAAACCAATCCAACAACTAATTATAGGTTAACTTTGGATTGTTTAACGAACAATTGCAAAGAAAGTGGTTGTTTTGAGGAATAAGATACCTTTTCATACCACAAATTTCCACTTTTAGCATCTTGGAATCTGGCTGATGAAAGATAAATTTATGCATAACTTAAATGACTTGCTTGAACCATGATCTAGTCCAGTGTGTGGTGCAGTATAGCCTAGGCCACATACCCTACCTGGATTCTGGGAGTTGCAGTTCAAGCTATCTGGAGGGCACCAGGTTGGGGAAGGCTTATTAGGATGATTTGTTGTTGTTGTTAGTCACGAAGTCATGTCCAACCCATTGCAACCCCATGGACAACATTCCTCCAGGCCTTCCTGTCTTCCACCATCCCCCAGAGTCCACTTAAGCTCAAACCAACTGCTTCAGTGACTCCATCCAGCCACCTCATTCTCTGTCATCCCCCTCCTCCATCTATTGTTCCCAGCATTAGACGCTTCTCCAGGGAGTCCTTCTCATTAGGTGGCCAAAGTATTTGAGTTTCATCTTCAGTATCTGGCCTTCTAAGGAGCAGTCAGGGTTGATCTCCTCTAGGACTGACCAGTTGATCGCCTTGCAGTCCAAGGGACTTGCTGGAGTCTCCTCCAGCACCACAATTCAAAGGCCTCAATCCTTTGGCGCTCAGCCTTCCTTATGGTCCAGCTTTCACAGCCATGCATTGCAACTGGGAAAACCATAGTCTTGACTATACACACTTTTGTTGGCAGGGTGATGTCTTTGCTTTTTAGTATGCTGTCTAGTATTAGGATGATACTGTGCAGTAAAATTTTGAGATTTTGAGTCTTGAGATTTTCTGTGAAAATAATAGATGGTATAGAAAAAATTTAAATAAATAAAATGTGTACCTTGTCCACCCATCTTCTCATCTGATCCTCCCTTTAAGCACCATACAACCTGGGCAGGATGTGGGGGGAAGGGGTTCTTTTTGCGCTGAGATGGACTCTTCTGTACTTTGGATAAAGCCTATAGTCAGTCACCAGTTCACAAAGAATTACTGCTGTATTGAATACTATTAGTACTACTAGGCTGACACACACTTCTTTCTTTTCAAAGGAAATTGCGCTTCAGCAGATAATGTCTCATATTGGTGTTGTGAAAAAAGATATGATTATTTTGGAGAAGAGTGAATTTTCAGCCCTCCGAGCAGAAAATGAGGTAAATGTAATTCTAAAAATTCCAGACCTGTTTATGCAACATACATTGGTTATAAATCTGTTGCTTACTGTGATGGCCGGAAATTATGCTGTGAATCTCAGCCCCTATCTGGAAATACAGAAAAAGGTACAGTTGTTGCTAAAGTTTGTTAATTCATTGTTGTTTTAACGTCACTTATCAAGTTATGTTTTTGGTCTCTTTAAAAGAACTATATAAAAGTAACCATAGAAATTAGTATGTGAAGATGACTTTTGCATTTAACAGGAAAAGCACTTTGCAATGTAGAAAAAACTGAAATACACTTAAGTCCTTTTGATTTAAGTTACATTTTGGTATTCAGCACAAATATGGTATACCATTTAACTAATTTACTAATATTCTATCTGTTGTGCATTTGCTGTTTAGTTTTGAGGAATCAAAGCTTATGCACTGATTTTCTTGTGAAGGAAAGGTTTCTTGCTTTTGTCATTATATATAAAAAATTTAAAAATTGCCTGCCTGTTTACCAAAAGCTGAAGCTTATCAGGGTGCAATCATATACATGTTTGGGCAGAAAAAAGTCTTACAATTCCCGAATGTGTATAGGGTCATTCCCTTAATTGGTTTTAACTCAGTCATGTCACCTAGGCTGTATGTGTAACATAATTTAATTGGATTGTTCATTGACATTGGAAGCACTAGTTTTGGAAATCTGAAGTCCCTACTTGCATACTTCTTTTGTAACATCAGTTGATTGTAGCTTTGGCATATGTATCACTACCTTTATATCCTGCATTAATGTAATTTTCATGTCTATTCTTTTTTTAATGCAAAGAAAATAAAAGTTGAACTTCAGCAACTAAAAAAGCAAGTGATGGTAAGATACTTCATACCTAAACAATATAACTCCACTGCACATAACATTTTAGTTAAACATGTTACACGCCAGGGCTTTCTATAAGAAGATGTGTTCAGGCTGCAATCCTTTGCTTAGGAGAAAGCACTGTGGGACTCAGTAGGTCTTAATTCTGAGTGCAGATGTATAAGACTACCAGTATTGTATGAGAATAAGCAAATCAATAGCATTGTTAAAGGTGATGTGCCAACTGTTTGTTTACTGGTCCATTAAGGAGTATTCCATATTGTACAACCTGACAGTAGGGTTTTTGCTCCTGCCTTCATACAGCATCAGTCTGGAAGAGTGAGCCACATGAAATACCACTTAATTCTTGTCAAATCAAATGCCTACTTAAGTTATGAAACATTTCTGCACATTATATTAAAGTTGCAGATGTGCAGCAATTGTGTCTTGGAAGTTCAGTGTAATTGCTGGGATAATCCCTTGAGCCTCGGGCTCAGGAGGTGGGCTAAGACTTGTGCTCACTAAAGTGAAGATGATCTCCTTCTTGTAGTACAGAAGCTGTGGACATCTAAGAACCATTCATCTCACAGAATATAAAGTTGTTTGTTACCAGCAAAAAATAATAATAATAATTAACCAAAAGGAAATCACTGCCAGCATGATCTTGGCAAATTAACCAAAAGGAAACCTTTTCCGTCCAAAAAGCAAGAAATACTAGGTTAGCCATTAAGATGAACCCAGCTGAAATGGCTCCAGAAAGAAGGTGCTAAATATACCTTTCTAAATCACTACGTGATTTGTGTTCAGTTTCATGCTTGTTCCTAAAACGTTCCTTTCTATACACACAAGAAGAAACATCTTGAATCATGGAGGTCGAGCACTAGAAGCTGGGACTTCAGGAGGGCCAACTTTGGCCAACTGAAGGCCAGAATGGGGGAAGTCTCCTAGGATAGGTTACTGGAAGGCAAGGGAGTTGAGGAGGGGTGGTTGGCACTCAAAAAGGAGGTTCTGGAGGCACAAGCCTTGACAATACCTCTAGTTAGTAAGGCGGGGAGGTGAAGGAGAGTGCCACCATGGATGCAAAAGGAGGTGGTAAGAAGGATTAGAGCAAGAGGAACCTCTGTAGGAAATGGGCACTGGGGTAAATAGACAAAAGGGTACACTGGGAGGAGGAGGCCTGTTGCAGAAGGATTCTTCACAAGGCTATGGCTGATTACGAGCTGAGACTTGCAAAGAATAACAAGAGCAACAAAAAGGGCTTCTATTAGCATGGAAATAACTAGAGGAAGGGGAGACAGGTAGTGGGACTGCTTAATAAGGGGGGAAGGGGATCCAGTGACTGATGTGAGGGAACAGGCACAGATGCTAAGTAACTATTTTGCCTCTGTGTTCTCCCCAAAGCAGGACAGGGGAGATCCACATGGGAGATTAGATGAGGCAGGGAACTTAGGGGTAAAGATTAGAGTCAACCCCCCCCCCCCCCCAGAAGTTAAGGAGCTCCTCAGGGCACATGATGTTACAAAGGCACCTGGCTCTGACAGGTTACACCCGAGAGTACTTTGAGAGTTGGGAGGGGTTCTCTCACACCCGCTGGTTTCCATTTTTGAGGCCTTGTAGAGAATGGGTGAAGTTCCAGAGGACTGGAGGGTGGCGTCAGTGGTCTCAATTTTCAAATAGGGTAGTAGAAGGGACATGGGGAATTGCAGACCAGTTAGCCTTATGTCCATTGTAGGAAAAACAATGGAAAGCTCATAATAGCAAGAGATCTAGTGATGCTAGATAGGGAAGGGAGGCTGGTGGCCACACAACACGGCTTCCGCAAAAATAGGTCCTGCCAGACAAACCTTGTGGAATTCTATGACAAGGTTTCAAGATGACTAGATGGAAGGGACGCAGTGGATGTGGGTTACCTGGATTTCAGCAAGGCCTTTGACAAAGTGCCCCATGATATCCTGCTTGAGAAATTGAGGAGTTTTGAGATAGACCAATGCCCTGTCCAATAACTGACTGAAAGCAGAGGGTAACCATTAGAGGGGAATCATCAGGATGGCAGCCAGTGACAAGCGGGGTCCCCCAGGGCTCTGTCCTGGGGCCGATCCTGTTTAATCTTTTCATCAACGACATGGAAGAAGGGATGAACAGTTTGCTGATCAAATTCGCAGACAACACTAAAACAGGGGCAGTGGCCACAACTGAGGAGCAGATACTCCAGATATAAAAGTATCTGGACAGACTGTGGAAGTGGCAGGAGACAACAGGATGGCATTCAATGTGGATAAGTGCAAGGTCTTGTACTTGGGGCATGGGAATGGGTGTCATAAGTACAGGTTAGGGGAGAAGTGGCTGGAGAGCAGCACTTGTGAAAGGGATCTTGGGATACTGGTTGACTGCAGGCTAAACATGAGTCAGCAGTGTGATGTGGTAGTCAAGAGGGCGAACGCCACCCTTGGTTGCATAGCCAGAAGCGTGGCTTCTAGATCAAGAGAGGTATTACTACCACTCTATACGAATCTGGTGTGTCCGCAACTGGAGTATTGTGTTCAGTTCTGGGAAGTGGGGGTGGGCCGGGAATGGCAACAGCCATGTTGGCAAGGCTGGCAATGTGGCAAAATGAGTCAGCCAGACATTTGGGTGCACATGCTGAGAAGGAACACAGAGCAGCAACTGTGTGGGCAGCCATGCATGGCGCTCCTGTCTGGTTGCTGCCCTGTGTTGGAGTGGCGCACAGACACATGCAGGTCTTCACCACCAGTGTGAGCCTGCATCCTAGGGCAACCTTAGGAAAGTATGCCTGGTGGGGCATGCTCCTTCCATCCCTGGCCCGGTTGCTCATGCTACTGGCTTCTGTGGGCTTGAATACCAGGGGTCGGTAGCCTTTGCAGCTTGTACAAATCTGACACACACAGGGCAGCTCGGTGCATTTGTACAGAATTTGTGCAGTGAGGGAAAGGTATGGGTGGCCGTGTGTGCTTGTGCATGGAGTGTGGCGGCAGTGGAGGCTGCTGTGCTGCTGTTCCTGCAGTGCGACTGCTACATAACTTCATTAAACCACTGAGTAAATCATTGATGGGTGTTTCTAAAAGTCAGTGGAGATAGTGTCATAGCTGCAATAAATGCATTTATTTATTTATTATTTTATTTAGAAGGCTTCTATGCCGCCCCATTCGCCGAAGCCTCGGGGCGGCTCACAATAATAAATAAGCACAGTATAAAACAATATAATATAATATGAGTCGACCTGGCCCGAAAAATAAAATAAATGTATGTCAAACTCCTTGGAAGTAATGGCAGCTAATTTCTAAAGTCGTGCAAATTCATCAGTAGTTTTACAGCTGTACTTTGACTTGCTGTACAGATTCAAAGTAGGTTGTAAAATTGTGTAAACTATCTCTTTGACTGAGTTCACATGTAATGACAACACATTGTATGGGAGTAAGCAATTACTCTGCCTCCCACCTGCTCACTATACTTGCTTGTATGTGGTTTAGAAAACAACCCAAGAACAGCCCATTCCTGTTCCATTGTTTGACATGATGTGGAAATCTGTGTCTTTGGATTGGTGTATTGGGGGGGGGGGGCAACCCAGATTTCTAATCCATGGTTTGTTGCTATTTAAAATCCTGGCTTGTTTCCTCCTCTGTAATCTAGAATCTCCAGTTCACATTCCACAGGGCATTCTTGAATTATTTGCTATATTGGATGTAATGAAAGAAGACGAGGTGGATGGGAGGCAGCTTGCTCACTCTCCCAGGGCCTTGATAAATCAAAGAAAAGTTCCAAACTGTAACTTGCTTGTGAAAAGATCAAAGAATTTGAATGGAAGATGCAGGTATTGTGTTTAGCATTATGCATTTTTTCCCTAGGATGAGACTTCCAAATTGCGTACAGACAGCAAACTAGATTTCAATCTAGAAAAGAGCAGAGTAAAAGAATTGGTATGTATGTATTTCTTTTCTATAAAGATTATTCAGAAACATTGCTGCACTGTATAGCTTAGACTGGGGTGGTCCAACTGATGGTCCACAGGCTGCATGCAGCCCCTGAGGCCTTGTTCTGTGGCCCTCTTGCTACTTGGAGACCCCCCGTTGCTCTCCCAGTTCAGATCCCAGCAATGGCACAGGCATGATTTAGGCAAGCTCTCCTGAAGCTCAGGAAGAGAGCCGGTCAGGCTGGTAGTCTCAGGAGAGCTCACCCCAGCATGCCCCATGCCACTTTAACTGATGAGCAGAAAGGCTCAGCACACCAATTCCAGGAAGGAAGGAGGAGCCAGGGGGGCACATGGGAGGGTTTCTGGGTGAGAGAAACAGGGAATAAAGGTATGGGCCACCCCAGAGGACAGTCATTATGTTTGCGCTGTGGTTGGAGAAGGAGCATTCTTTTTCATTAAATTAGCCCTAAAATCAAATTAAGCAGCTGCCCCTGCTGCAGATAACAATAAATAAATATTTATTTTTATACAGAATTAACTATGGCAAGCACTTTAATTTACAGTATGGAAATGTAATTTATTGTGTGGCCCCTGGTTTCCATGTCAAAGTCCTCACATGGCCTTCAAGGTATGAAAAGTCGGACCACCCTGGTTTGGACAAATATGTTACTTGTAGACAGTGAAGCAGCTTTTCCAAGGTTCTTGTAAGCCATCTGTGGAAATGATTTTAATATAGGGTGACAGATACATGACTGTAAAATGTAAAATGTTCATGTCTCATTATAAAATAATATATGTTAGGATTATTACCTCCCCATTTTGGACCTTTCTGAGTACTTGATGGAGATAAAAACTTTATCAAAGTTACACTTATGTATAAGTAAACTTGTCCTCAGGCATCCTACAAAAACCATAGAGCAAGCATAGGCCAAAAATAAACTGGAAGATATAATGACCTTCCTAGTTCATGTAGGTTTATAAATATTTAGTTTGTATCTTAACTGATGGCATTTTTGGCAGTAACCAACTGGTATTGTTGGCATGGTCATCACAAAGAAGAAGGGTCTTAAAGTTAGACCCTTTTGCGGCAATACTGAAAGAGGTTAAAGAACACGCATAAACACAGTATTAATACAGTGATACTGGAAGTGTTAAAAAGAAAACATGAAGACTGCAAACAAAAGATTTCTTTTTAAGCAGTAGCTCTTTTTTAAAGCATTGCTCTTATTTTTCAGTATGCGCTTAATGAGAGAAAACTGTTGAAAATGAAAACAGAAATAGTGGAACTGGTAAGAACATAAGCTTAACTGTTGTGTTGGATTACCTCCTTGAGGGGGAGCAGTGAAGGACACTTTTAAGGAAAGTTTTGTCTTGCTTTTTTTTCCTCAAAGAGAGCATATGCAGGCCCTTCTCAGCCTTAAAGAAGGGTAAAGAAACCTGGCTTATCCGTGTGATAGTCCTGCAGCAGTTTAAACTAACTGATATCTAAACCTAGTCTCTCCTTCTTCAGCTCTTACTGCTATCCCTCTTTCTTTCTTCTTGCAAAGAACACTGACTGTGCTTTCTTTCCCTTTCCAAAGGTGGTTCACCACTAAGCCATGAGATACAAAATCTCTCAAGCTTCTTCCCCTTCTTTTGTTGTACCCAAACAGTGGACAGTTGCCCTACAAAGACCTTCACCAAAGACTCGGAATTTCCCCCATCTCATTGCTCTGCTCACATCATCAGTTAAGGCAGCCACTGCTGTAGACCTCGTTCCTGCCATCTGGCATTTAAATGATAGCAGAAGTGTGTCAGCCACCACCACAAGCTGACCCTGCTCCTGCTGTACTCACTTCCAGCCAGCTTGGTTACAACATGGGGTTCAAGTGGGTGCTCAGTGCACCCAAACCTCCACAGAATGATCATGGTGATACTCTCTGCCATATGTGTGCAAGCTTACATACACACCATCATTAATATGTATAGCATTTCAATATCTGCAGTTTGAAGGAGACATAGATCTCTGAATATGTAAAATGACATTATTCCTTATTCCGCATTAAACAACTATGAAAACAAGAAGCAAGGGCAAATGTCTTGGCAATAAAATATTCATTATTAATATTTGGGTGCTACTATATCAGGCCAAACTAAAGGGCACAACATAATGTGAATAATCTGTAAAGCATGATTATATGAGAATTGGATGAATTCAAATCAGGAATGTTACAAAACTGTTAGTAAGATTTTGTGTGAGCCTTAAAAATAATATATATTCTAACATTTCTGAGCTGAACTTAAGGAAAAAAACTGTTGAAATGTTGCACATGCTGAAAAGGCTATTTTAACTTCCTAGGTAGATATGTATCCACAACATTGAATGAAATCCTGACAGATCTTTGAGGGTTGGTGAAGGGTTTAAATAACATTTGAAATTAACTTGATTCATCCTACGAACACTCTGAAATCTGCAAAAGATCCCCCACCCCAGAAATAGTACTCCTCCTTTGAGGTTTACTTGGAGAGAAGCAAATACTGCCTTGCTGGCTCAGTGTTAATGTTATAGGCTCAATATGTTTACACTTCTAACTTATTTCCTTTTGAGGATTAAAATGGTAGAACACCATTTGTAATTCTGTAGTTGTTTTTTGCTGATTGAGCACTTGGGGCATATTTGGAGGCAGTTAAATTGCAAATGGTTTGTTTTAATTCTACTGTGTATCTCTTGATGCTTCTTTAGCTTGTTAACATAAATCTGTTTTTAGCATGTGGGAAGATTGTTTGGATATGTAAGAAAATACGTTGTATTGTAGTTGTTTCTGGTATTCGGTTCTGCAAATAGGAAATATCTATTACTTATTTTTTTAATCCAATAAAAACACATGGAGATTCAATTCTACATATTGTTACTTGGAAGTATATTCCATTTTATTTCGACAGAAATTACTTCCAAGAAAAAAAAAAGTACTATTTTTACTTTTTGGAAAAAAAATGAGATGACATTCACATACATTCATATTTAAAGCACATGCCTCTGGGTTGTTCCTTCAGTGATTGTTGGTCCCCAAACTTGAAGCCTTACAAGTAATCTTAAACAGAGTGGGAGAAGCACTAGCGGTGATCTCTGCCTCCCTGTTTCTGTGCCCAGAATTTTTGTAGACTTTCTTTACTCATTTCCATGGGACTTTCCAGAGGAGGAGGGAGTAAAGAGGTTTCAGGATAGCTCATAGCCTAACTTCCTCATTCTTTTCCCCTACCTGTCCACCAAAGCATGCCCTTTTCTTCTCTCTAAGATTGTTTTCCCAACATTGGAGGGCAGCTGCTGTGGTTCCTTTCATACTGGCTATAAGGAGGAGAGATGGGGACAGTTAGCTGTGCTAGAGTACTGTTAAGGGCATCTGGACACTCCTGTGGCCTGTCAGATGCTGTCTAGGGGCCATAGGATTAATTCTTCCACTTTTTAATGTTCTTTGCAGATTCTCTGAGAATAACCAATTAGATAGTGATAGGGAAGATATACAAGCTATAGAATAATCCTTAGAAAAGTGATGTTTTAATACCAAGATGGGGAGGAAAGAACCTGTAAATTTATATCTAACTGTAATAATGTTAGACATAAGGAATTAAGAGAGTATCACAGCAAATAGAGATTTCGACCTTGTAGTAATAGCATGGGCAGAATTTGTGTTATATGAAACTTTACAGTTCGCTGTTTAAAGATATGGACCTAATTTTTAAAAGGTAACATTTAAACAATATGGAAGTACTGGTTATCCTTTTTTTTAAGCATGCCCAACAAGATCGAGCTTTAACACAGACAGACAGGAAAATTGACACCGAAGTTGCAGGTCTAAAAACAATGCTTGAATCGCACAAACTTGACAACATTAAATATTTAGCAGGTAGGTAGTTCTGTCTTGGTGTATGTGCTTGGTCAACTGTCTTACTTGTCTGCTATCATGTATATGTGTTTAATATTCTTTACATCAAAAGTTATGTCTTCTGCATGCCTGCTAAGAGTTACTAATCATGTGGTTAATTTAGAATATGGAAAACTCTGCTAAATTATATAGTACTGGCAAGTGTTGCATTTTATAGCAAAAATCTAGTTAGCATGTTTTCAAGGAAGAACATATGAATGTATACTGTATATAAATGTAGCATGTTGTAAATTGTAAAACAATTTGAATAAGATAAACTGTGTTTTATACTAATCATAGTAACTGCTCTTTCAGCAATAGTATTATATCCTGTCATTATTTTTCTTCCCATCTTGTTTTCCTTCAAGTGGCTTTAAATTATCCTTGCATTCTGGAAATTTAGATTACAGGCTGTGATCCTGCAAGCATGGAAATTCCACTGGTTTTCATGATGGCTAACAAAGTACCATTGCAGACTGGATTCATGTTGAAACAATGTAATAGTTCTCTGTTTTCGTACTTATATTTTAATAAGGATTAAAATCGTGTATACTTTCTTCCCCACCCTTACTTTCTTCCAGGTTCAGTATTTACATGCCTTACAGTAGCCCTGGGATTTTACCGTTTATGGATATAACAAAGCATCTATTTTAAAAAGACATGTACTATCTTGCCTTAAAACTGCATTGTCACCTAGCTTAAATAATGTATTTAATTCAAATAATTGCTGCCATGTTATTTATTTGGTAAACTGCTGAATGTAAGCTGAAAACTAAAGAGTGTGCCTGAAAACTAATGTAAGTTCCAAAATATTGATAGAAACTTGACCTGAGTCAGAGGCAACATAAATTTACACAATTCTGTCCACCCATTGATACCTTTCCATATCTCTGGGCTATTGTAATATCAGAATTTGAGGTAATTGGTATTTACCAGATATACTAAATATAACTCTTAAGCCAGAGGAAAATCTAGGATGCTATATGCCAAATTCGAAGAACAGACTTAAACACTGAGGGGTGAAAAAAGCTTTGATTACCAATAACAGTGGATGGGATCCAATAGTCATTCTACAAATTGGTATACTGTTGGTAGAGAACTACAGAATCTCTCCATTGCTGAAGCACGTGCATGGTATTTTTGCACAGCTGGTTGTGCCAATGTAATTTTAGCTGAATTCTTTTGTGCATAGTTCAAAACTTACTTCCCAGTGGTGCTGTATTATTTACACTAGCCAGATGATGCAATTGAATACTGCCTGTTGTTTCTTCAGAGCTGGAAATTACTGAGTTAAATCATAACTTACTTGTTTCCTTTATGTTGATAAAACCTACTGTAAAGATTTGTTGTCACTGTATTTAAACAAATGGATTGCTTTCCTTGTATTTTACTGTTTTAAATTTCTCTCCAACTAATGATATTTTATAAGCAGATGTTTATCAAGATCCTGCTGATAAGGAAATGCCACATTAACAGTATACTAGAAACAGCATCCTGCTTCTTACCTTGATAAAATATGAAGAAAACAAAGCTCAGTGAGATGCATCAGCATTAAACACTCCTTTTCAGACAGACCTTGAAGATTTCTTGGTTGATAGAAGAGCGTGGTCTCTGCTAAATAACTGTGGAAAACAAGGTTTAAAAGTTAAAGAAGAGAAAAGAATTAGACTAACGGTACAATCCTGATAATGCCTTCTTAAAAGTAGATTGGTAGGGCTTGTTCCCAGGTAAATAGCATAGGATTGAAGCCTAAGCTAAATGTTTTTCACTCTCCCCAGGCTGACAATAAAATCAAAGTATAAGCCATGCTAAAATGCAACCCAGCAGTAGGCAAACATACTGGAGGGGAAAAACAGTTGTGTTAGTGGATGTTCCCTTTGTATAAAATTGTTTAACTGATTTACTGAAGCATATGTTTTGGGATGTCATGAGAAGGCAACAAATGGATTGGTACATCATTTATAAGTATTTTTTTTTAATCGTCAAGATGGGAAAAAGCAGTTCTGGGATTTTCTGCCTTAAGTGTCAGAATAGTTTGGGTACTCTGTACCTTGACTTGAAGTGGAGGGGGGAGCCCATTTGCCAGCAAAACGTCTTGGGCCCTGCTCCTAACTTAATATTCTCTCCTTTCTTCTCTTATATTGAGCTGTCTGGGATTGGTAAGAAGGCCATCATCTATCATCCCTGCTTCAGAGACCAAAACCCTTGCAGTCCAACTTTGTGTCTTTAAAATAGCCTCCAAATGGCATGCTTTTAATCTAAGTGGCTTTGTTTAATTTAATAGGCTCTTTTCACAACAAAGTTTGACTACAAACAGTGATGTGGTTGTTTGCCACTACTTGTACCATTTTAATTATTGTTCCCCAAAGTCCAAAGAGTTAACAAAATAGATGAGTGGGATTTGCATAATAATATGGAAAATGTTTGATGTTTCCACATACTAAGGTAGCTAACACTAAAGATTTTAAGCTTTACACACAGTGTGCTGTGTGTAAAACTTATTTTGAAAAATTATAACTCTTTTTAGGCAAGTCACTAGATTTTGGTTTCCATGTCACTATATTTGTATACATCATAAAAACTAGTGTCGAATAATTTTTTGTAAAGAACTACTTGCTGCCTCAAGATTTCTAAAATGTCAAAGTGGATATAGTTCAATTTTAGTTAATATGTATTTTTATATTTAATTTTAACTATAGCACAAATGTAAAATAACTATGATCCTGTATGTAGACTTACAATTATTTCACAATGATTTCAGTGGACTGTACTTTTAATAAGGTGCTAAGGATCACACCTTACGAGCAGATCCATCATAATTTTCTCCCCATCAATTTTCTTATCTGCCATTATTTGCACTGTGCAGTTGGCCTCCACTGCTTTTGCAGTGGTGATTTAATATCTCCAAGGCAATCCAAACCTAGCATTTCTGCTCATTTCAGGGCTTACTTAGTGCTAAATCTCTCTTGTGTAAGTGCCGGGTGCTGATTGCATAATACAGTTGGCAGAGCCATCACTTGGCTGTGGGGAATCGGCATAGCAGAAAAGAATCTGCAGGAGCATAGCACCCTGTTAGATTCTGCCCTACAGTCTCATCAGAGTTTGGATTTCAGTGGGACTTGCTTCTGTGTAAATGTGTTTAGGGCTGGGCTATCCTTTTTATGCTAGACTTTTCCTGAAGGATTTATATATGTTGTGAACCACTCAGAGAGCTTTGGCTGTTGGGCATTATAGAAATTAAATAAATGTGTTCAGTATTGAGACCATATGCAGGATTGAATTGGAGATGTCTACATAGCAGCTAGTTTGAAATTATATGCTACTTAAACTTGCATGCTACTTACCCTCCCCGCAACAAAAAGTCCCTCTTCTGTTCTGTGTTCTCTGGTTGGTTAATTTATGCTGCTATGTTCTCAGTGTGAATAAATATAGTTTGTCATTGCAATCATGTTTTCAGCTAACAAACCTGAATTATTGTTACTTTTTTCCCCAACACGGTGTAAAAGGCTTACGTGTTAAAGCCATCGGTTATAAAAACATTTTGAATAGATAAACCAAAGTGTTCCTGGGATTATACTACATGTGTAGACTGTGGACCTGGATTTACTGAATGCCAGAATATTTCTATGTGAAATTACCTCTTTATTCATAATTAAATGATTTAGGATAATGTGGTGTTTTGTCTTATTATTATGCATTGCTTTGATGAAGGTAAACAACTTTAGTTGTTTTGGACTAGAACTCCCATCAACCTCAGTCAGAATGGATAATGGTAAGGCATAATGGAAGATTCACTTCAGAATAACCTGAGGTAAGTAGAAATCTCCATACTTTAGTTGTAGAATGTAATTTTACATATAAGTACTATGTAACAGTGGCAAAATCTGTGTTTATTCCCATATAGGAACTTGTTCACTCTAGTTAAAATTATAGGATACAAAAGCTCACCCAGTTTAACAATTATGATAGAAGTTCTGACCAGTACATTTATATGCCACCTTTTAACCTAAATGAATCGGGCAGCTGCAAATTGTGTAACTCAGTACAAAGCTAGTAACTAATCTCAGAGGTATATCTGAGAGAATCTGATTTTAAAACAACCCTGCCACTGTTCCCCCTGTAGCAAGTCCAGTGAAAATAGTACCTTTCCAAAATGTGTAGATGAAATTGTGCTTCAGTGGTATTTCCCTGAGACCCAGGCCTTTTTTTTGTCATAGACTGCACCGGAACAGTGTTCCGGCACCTTTTTTTCAATGGATTTTACAAAGTGATTTTGGGTAGCAGGTCAGCAGCAAACATCATTAACATAGTGCCTGCAGGCTGCTATTGTGAGAGATAGCTGCTCCTGACGTACGCGTGTGTGTGTGTGTGGGGGGGGGGGGGGGGGGGGCCTTTTTTTTTTTTTTTTTTTACAAAACACTGCTGAGACCTTATGTACTTCAGACTGATCTCTTTGGCCAAGTATAAGATCTGTTATGAATTATCCTCATTGCAAAAGGTCTGAAGCAATATCAGTTCCTAGCAGGTCCTATATGAGTTTACTGAGTGGCACATGGTAGATATGAAAGAAAAACAAGATGTTGGAATTATAATAAAACAGGATCAAACTTGCTAAAATGGTTAACCTAGGGTAATTTAACTTAGCATCAGAGGGGTTTTTTTCCTGGTCACAATGTCAGTCTTGTAAGAAAGCAACAAGACAGATGTACAATTAGAGGGTGGTCCTTGCACCTATTTTGCCCTGTTAATGACCTTTACAAGTAATGAAAGAGAAGCCAGCCTGCATTATAGTTTTCAAAAATTCATTCTGAGCCTACCAGTTTTTAAAATGTGTATGCCTGCTTTTTCCAAATTAGTGCATGGTGAAACAGCACAAAAATATAGTTTTAAAGTATGAAATACTAGTGGAAAAACTGAAACATATAAAGGAGCAAAGCTGTAAAAAGCTATTGATAAAAGAACAGAAAGTTAGACCAAATTAAGCCAACAGATGAATACACAAATTGTCAGTCTTTTCAGAATGGACTTCAAGCAGGCAGGGAGATTTGCAAACGAATTCCACAGGTGCAAGACAACCATAGAAGACATTTTCCCCCAGATAGTCACCTGCTTAAATTCTGCAGGCTCGTGCATCCAAAGAAGTGTCCAGAATTACTAATATAAGCTGCTATACAGGAGTAACTGATCCTTCGTGTACAATTCAAAATCTTGAAATTGGCCTGACAGTAGACTGGGAGAAAATCAAGTTCTGTAATGAAACAAATATTGTATGTTAATGACGAGCTCTTGCCAACAGCCTTGTTGCCATCTATTAAAGCACTTGAAAGTTTCAAGGGAATACTTCAAAGGTATCCTATGAATAATACATTAGAGTATTCAGGCCTGGATGTTTTAAAACATAGATAACTATGGCCACACCATGACATTCTAGAAGGACATGTAGCAACTATAGCAAACTGGAAGGAAGGTTATACTGGGCTGCAGATGCCGCCTGTTACCTCTTGCGCAATCTAAGATGTGTATTTTTCTTTGCTTAGCAATTTTGTCTTGGTACAAGATCAACATAGCAACAACAATCTAGAGATAGAAAGCTTAGAAAAATGTTGATGCTTTGTGTGTGTCTTGTGGTTGTATAGGTCTGTGACCCATTTAAACAATTAGTTAAATTTGTATAGGGAACAATAATAGTCCTGAAATGGAGGGAATATTTTTTTTTAGTTTTGCATGTACACACCGCAGCATCAATTAAATATTGAACATTATAAATATTAAACTTGAACCACTTTTATTGTAGTTATTTTTATTACCATTCAATAATCCCCTGGGTGGTTTACATAAACAGATAAGCTGAGAGCAAAGCAGATTTATAGTGCTTAGATATTTTTTGATTCTGTTTAGCTATGTTGTGCCTGACCCATTAATAAGGTTCAGACTGATTTTATGATCCAGAGATGTGGATGTGAGTACTGAAGGAGTATGATTCTCTTCAAGTGGAGTCCACATTAATTTTAATGAGTGAAATCTATTCTGTCTCACATGTATACATCCAACAGTGCATGGATTTCACTGAGAAGAAACATTCTGTGGTAAAAAAGAGTTTTTTGTTTCATAAAGAAGGAATACAACTTAAGTCTTCAGTTTCTGTCTTGAGACTGAGTTTAAGTCACAGACTTCATGGACAGAGCATAAGGCCCAATCTTTGTATTTCTTATTCGTTCCCCTGCCCTCACCCTCATTTTTTTTGTACTTCTAATTCAAAGGGATTAGGAGAACACAGAAGTTTGCATGGTAATGTGTCATTTTTGTTTTATTAACATAGCTGTATTAACGTAGTATCCTGAGTTTGGTTTGTTAACTATTTCTGGAACAACAATATGATATTGCCAAATGGTTAATAAGGTACAAGACTACCTAGAAATAGGAAGTGATAGAATGATGAGTATCTATCTAAAATATTTCTACCCCGTCCTTCCCAATAAAACATCTCAGGACTACTTACAATAATTAAAACAGTAATAATAATAAAATTACAATAGCAATAATAATACAATAATTAAAACAAATATTCAGCAAAGTAAAAATAAAGAAAATGAGACTGCAGCCTTAACACATCTAGTTGTTAGATGTGTTAATCCTTAGTTGTTAAAATGATGGTTAAATAAAAAGGTTTTTGTCTGGTGCAGAAAAGAGTATAAAGTATAAAATATTATACATTTTATAAAGTATTAAATATTAATAAAATTAATGGATCATTTTCAAACTTTGGGTATGTCAAATTATGCAGGTTTCATGGAAAATAGTATTGTGTGCAGGTAACCAGTTTGGAATTTGATTTTACTGTTTATTTAATACATTTGTGACCCATCCAAGAACAAATGTATTCTGGATGCATTGCAGACATTTAAAAACTAAAATCCCATTTGTCAGTTAAAGATACAAAATACAGTACAAATATTAAAAGAGCTAAATATAATATAGAGCAAAACAAACAGTGGAGAAATTGATAGAACAGTAAGCAAGCACTTTGGGCTTTAAAAATACCTGGAAGGAAGGTTGGGTTGGCACAGGACTGGGTGAAGAAGGAAAACTTGGTACCAGTGGATCAAGAGGGTCACCATGTGGAGCCATAGTAAGGCGGGTCTACATGTTGGAATTGCTAAGATTGAATTCATAAAGGAAGCCACCGTTTTGAACTTGGAAGAGCTGAATGTTTCAGCCATACATTAGAGCGATGTGTAAAGGGGATACTGCTCTACAAGTAGAAGAATGGCATGCAGTAAAATTAATGGCTAGTTGTAGTCAGACATCTGAAGGGCACCAGGTTAAGGAAAGGTGTTTTGTGGTAAATTGCCTTCCAGTGACTATGAAAATGTAATTCTGGAAAGGAGAAGGAAATTTCAAGAATTTCTATTTCTTGAAATGACAGCAAATTGCAGAATGGAAAGAATAGTATCACATTTCTTTCTTTTTAAAGCACTAAGGGAACATTCATATGCTGAAGTAGATAAATGTGAACCCTTTACTACATGGGTCCTCAAACTACGGCCCACAGGCTGAATCCAGCCCACCATGCCCATTTATCCGGCCTGCCGTAGAGGTTTTGGACTCTCTGCGCATGCCAGCGGCTTGCTCATGCGGAGATAGTTTTGGACTTGCTCAGAGAAAACAATCTCCGCGCATGCATGCCTCTGCCTCGCCATGCACCCCCCGCTCACACCGCCTTGGTGGCCAGTGCCCATCACCGGCACCTTTCAACTGGCCCCCTGTTGAAAAAGTTTGAGGACCCCTGCTTTACGTAAAGAAAAAGTGATGGCCTTTTAAAATAGTTCCCATACTACCCAGATCATAGAGGGAAGTTTACAGATACAATTCTGTTAAGTACTATGCTAGCTGTACCTTGAGGTACTGGAAAGATTCTGCTGTGACATTAAAGGTATGAACTGTGATTAATACATCCCTTTGATTTCAGTGGGTCTGATCTAAACATGATTAAGTATGAATCCAACCCTAAATGGGAACTACCAAATAGCATTACAATATACAATAAATCAAAATAGTATATTAGTTAGCAGCTTAACACATACAGCAGGCTAAAACATGTTTTTGCTTATTAGGATTTATTACCTTGTTATAAACAAGCCAGAGAGCTTTGGCTATAGGGTGATATAGAAATTAAATGGTTGTCAGAGGATTGCTATGTAAAAGAAAAAAAGTACAGATTGTATTGTAGCACAATGAACATGAATGCAAAATGTTAAAGTAACTTTGCATTTTGAAATAAAGTAACAAGGAACCAATTAATTAAAATTTCCCTTTTCCATTAAGTTATGACATTATGAGCTCTCTGACTATATTCTTTTATTGCTTTGCTCTTGAAAATACAACTGCCCCCCCCCAAAAAAAAGGAATAATGGAGTGTTAGATAATATGCTGTCCATCAAATCAGGAAAAAAGAAAATCCTTTCTATTTATTAGAAGCCCTTAACAAAAACTCTTCACAGTACAGTTAAAAAGAACTTGCATCTCCAAAAGAAGTAGTCCTTTATTTTGCATGAAAGCAATACTGTTCCTAACCCTCTTGTCTGATGGCAAAAGTCTTGAAAAATACAGTAAATACAGTGCCATTAATGATGCAGTATTAGAATAGAACTTTTACTCAATGCACCTGGA